ATCTTCCAGTCCAAATAAGGGCCTGAGTAAGGAGAGGATAAAAACCAAATTTACATACATATGCATAGAAAACAGATAGTTTTCTCCCTGGGTTTGGTGAAGACAAAGGAATTTAGCTGGTATTTTGTCACAGTGACATTTGGCAAAGTTGGAATGAATTAAAAGCATCCTTCACCCCCAGGCCTATCTCCAGACCCACCTAAGAATCCCCTCACCCCAGTCCCACTCTTCAGACAGAGAGATGAAGACCAGGAAAGCCCCAGAACACAGGTTCTGGTATACTCACAACACTCAAGATGAGTGAAGAATCATTTGGGATCATCTGAGATTAGAGTTAGGCAAGAGGGCTGTGACGGTAGGCTCCTCTTTTAGATTCTCTTCTAGCTGAAAGTGTCCAGTGGGACAGGTTGGGCTGGCTAGGCCTCAGAGAAACAACAGAGGAAAAGCAAGCAGCCTTCCTTCCCCACACAACACCCACCACCTTCCTTCACTCCTCACCCAGCAGTACCAAACGATTTGAAGAGAACGAGCGTGGCCCGAAGGGAAATTCTGCAGTCAAAGTTTTTAAGACATAAAGAGAAAATAGAGAAAAGGGGGAAGAAGGGACAGAGAAAGAAAGAAAGCAGAGTGAGATATGAGAGTGACCACCCATTCTGAATTCAGGGGTGTCGGAGGCTGCATGTGTGCTGGCTCTCAGTCATTGTGGAAGGTGTCAACTCTGATCTGGGGCCATCATGCAGCCTAGGTCCCTTCTCTATCTGCCGATCCCCTCATCTTCATGGCAGGTGGGAACAGTGAGGGGAGAGGGGAAGGGACTGAACAACTATGGAATTTGGAACTCTAGCTTCCAAAGTGGAGACTCCATATGGGAGTAGTCCTGAAAAGTCAGTGTGGTTAGGAAAACCTAGGAAAGAAATAAAGTCACCTTTTGATTAGCTCCAGCTCCCCCGAGCATTTTGCTTTGCAAAGGTTTTTCAAACTAGACAGGTAGGTACCTCTTTCCTTGAGGGGAGTAATGGAGGCACTAATGTGAGAATGTTCAGCCTCTTCCAAAGAACCTGGAGAATTACCCCCCCCACACACACACAAATAACTAACTCCAGCTGCTGTGCACAGGAAAGATCAACTAACAACTTTGGTGAAGCCTTTCTCTCTTGCCTTGGTGTACGTCTAAAGCTCTGGAATTCCAAATACCACCCCCGTCGCCAACATTTTTAAGTCCAATGCCACACTTCATTAAAACAGAACGACCCCGTTTCGTGTAAAAGGCCAAATGCCCTACACCCTAATAGTCCTGAGTCTTGGCAGAAACCGAATCGGTCCTTGCTCTGCTCCTGCCAGGCCTGGTTCTCCAACACTGTGCGAGGCCCAGCCTGAGTCATGCCCCAAATGATGGGGGAGGATGGAGCTGGGCTGCTGGGCACCACTCACTCACTGCCCACTGGCCCCTCAGTCCTCAGGCCTCTCTTCTTCTTACTGGTTGTTGCAGCCTGTAGAGGATGTGGACCCGCCAGCCTGCTTCTTTCTTCGCTTGTTAAGGAGCCGGTTGTTTGAGGTTTTCAAGTCTTTGATTTTCACCTGGTCATAATCTACCCGCATAGTGGCCAGGGCGCTGGTCATCTCTTCCTGCAGTCAGAAGACAAGAGATCGACAGGGGGAAATGAGTGTACTTGATACCATATTAAAAAATTTAGTAAGAAATTTTAAAAAATTAATGAAAATCCATTTTTTCCCCTCTTGTTGCAAAAGAAAAGCAAAACCTATGTAACAAACATGCATAGTCAAGCAAAACAGAATTCTAAATTGGACATGTCCCCTAAGAAGTCTCAAGTCTACACCCTGAGCCCATCACCTCTCTGTCAAGAGGTATGCAGCATGGACCTGTTAATTCAAGGCCTTGAACTGCAGATTCATATACACCTAGCTAGAAAGGGGCTTACAGTCTAAATCTGTACTCAGCGGATGGATATTTGAAAACGTCTACTGTATTCCTCTGAAATCTCTTCTTCTCGGGATTGAACATTCACGGTCCCTTCTCCTGGATGTTGTATGACATGGCTGATCTCTGGCCAATGGTTTATGATTTCAGTAATGACATCACTTGCTCCCTGCTGGCTCCTTGGAGGCTGGAAGCATCTCCCTTTTGCTTTTGTATGTTCAGCACTTAGCTTAGTGCCTGACACATAGTAAACTCTTAATAAATGCTTATTGATTGATTGATTAATTGGCTGTCCCGGGCTGGATCTTGATGGTGTTCCTCTTCTCAGTCTACGCTACCACAACAATCTCCAGGTCTGTCTCAAGGCCTTCAGCAGACACTTACCTAGAGCTGGGAGTCTGGGTCTGCTGCCAGAGAAAAATCTACTCCCCAACGGCCTGGGGACAAGCTCAGGGACTAAAGCCCTGTGGTTAGCTTAGAATACAGGAGGCCCAGCCTTTCCCCCTCAAAGCTCCATTTCCCTGGGGGGTAGTGCAGAGAGATAGAAAGACAGGGAGGCAGACCTTCACTTCATCCCAATGGTCTTTGTCTTCCTGCAGGACTCGGGCAGTGTGAAGAGGGGTCTGTGGTACCACCATTGATTGCTGGAAAAATCAGAGCACACAGATTGTCTAAGCTGGAAGGGAACTCTGAAGGATCTGTTCACCCTCTTCATTTTACTGGTAAGTCAGAGGAGGCCTGGAAGTGGTTTGCCCAAGGTTCCATAGCTTACTGATGGTAGAACCAAGTCTGAAACTCAGGCTTTCTAGGTTCTTGGGATGGAATTCTTTCTATTATAACCCTCTCCCACCCCCACCCCCATGTTTATTATTCCCACTCCCTCTTCTAAGCATAGGTCAGGGAAGGTCAAGTCAACACCTTATATTTCTTAGCTCGGGTCTTTGGTTTTGCCCCAGTGGAAGAAAAAAACCAGGTGCCTCTTCTTGGCTCTTGGGGTTGCTAAACCTTTTAATTTCCCCGGTTAACTCCTCCCTCCCACACAGGACTCAACGTGCAGGAATGCTTAGGGCTTATTAACAATACTCAAGAGACTGAGCATGACTGCACTCATTTCTCCCTCTTACTGAGACCAAGCCCCACATTTCCCTACCTTGGCCAAGGATGAGGGCACAAAGTGTGGGACCTCCTCCCAGACCCAGAACATAGGTTAGTGTTACTCGCTATCTTTAGCATTTCTTTTTCTTGCTATGAAGTAAACATGGCTCTCTCAGCCTAGGGATGTGAGTACTCAAGGGTATTTTGAGCCACTCCCTTGCTTAAAGGAGAAATAACTCACATTAATCCAAGGATGGTTCATGAACTGAGCAATGGTCATTCTTTCAGTAGGTTCTGTCTTTAGCAAGAGTCGGATCAGTTGCTTGGCTGGGAGAGAAGAGAGAAAAAGGTGAAGGGGGGGGG